CAGTTAATATGCTGTCCCCTGATTCAAGGATTCCTCTACTTTCAGAGGCATGGACAGGAACTGTGCAGAACTCAGCAGAGCACATTTCAACAAGTCTGGTTTTTCCATCTAGTCCTGCCAATGAACACCCAGGGACAGAACCCCTTCTCTCCCATCTATGAAGTCTGGCCAAAAGGTCAGGTCATGGAGGAAGATGGAAATGGCCGTGGGTGGGGAAAGCAGACCAAGGGGGAAGTCCCCCTGGAATCCAGCTCAGTTAGGGGCTGGGAAACAGGCTGCACCACCCCAGCAAACCCCCAGCTCAGGCAACCTTCCCATCCACCTAGGAGATGTGGAGTAAGGGCGCCCTCTTTTGGACTTGGCCAGGCAGGCTTTTGGTTGTTTCTGGAATCTTACACCTGAACCCTACAGTCACTATTACTCTTCTTAGGTTACCACTTACTGAGCCCTTACAATATACTGGAGATACTTCATGGACGCAGTTCTCCTTCAGGGCTACTGAGGAATAAGCCTTAGCCCCCACCCATTTCTCTCTTGCTCAAGCTCACACCCTAGTGGCAGAGCTCGAGCAAAACTTGGTGCTCTTAAACGCTCCTCTCTCAACAGAAGTGTGAGCATATCCATTTGGCAAGTGCTAATCAATCCCATCGGCTCTGAGAAACGGGTTGTGGAGCCTAAAGGGGAGGTGGCTTTTCAGGGCTCGCCAAGGGGGAGGCGCCTGGTGCAGACCTCATGTCAGCAGCCGGGAGAGGCCCGAGCCTCAGGCCCAGCTCTCCTGGCTTCCCCACTTATTACCTGCGTCACCTCCCACATCGTCCTCACCAGGTGCCTTAAATTTTCTCCTCCCAACCACTCTATCAAGCAGGTCCGATCCCCATTTTTCAGACAGGCAACTGAAGCTCAGAATGCTTGAGTAATTTGTTCAAAGTCACACAGCTGCTGGCTTCTAATCCTAGGTCAGCACGGCCCCAAACCCTTGGCTGTTTCCACTCAGCCTTACTATGTCCCCTCTGCGAAATGGAGCACCAGGCGCGCACACAGTAGGCGCACACTAATTGCCAGTTCCTACGTCAGGGGCCTCTCTGGCCTCAGTTTCCCTGGCTGCAAAACTGAAGATGCAGGAGCAGAGACGCAAGAGC